ATCTGCAGAATCACAGAACGGCCAGTACTCCAGGATGGCCACCTGCCTCACAGACATCCCAAGTCTCCCCGAAGTCACGGGAGTCTCCTGCATATTGATAGCGGCTCCCTGATCCCCACAAATTAGTTCAAATCTCGTAATCTAGAGTGAGCAAGAGCACGCATGTATAGCGCGCACACGGCAGAGAGAAGGAGCGACCTTGCGTGTGTGTCCTAGTGTGCGCGTGTACCTCACGAAGCACATGTAAGGACCCAAACAATCAATTGTCAGTGCAGGCGGGCTTTTATCACTACTACTCCTCAACCGAATCAATCAGAAATTACTTTGCAAGTTACTTGCTAGGGATGATGTTAAGAAGTGATATTCAGCTTGCTACATTTTTAATGATTACAAACAGCTAATCTTCAACATTTTAGCTGTAAATTGCCACATGCAGTAGCTAATATTAAGTAATATGTTGTGCTTTTACTTTTAAAAATGTATGAAGATTTTGAATACATTTTTTAAATTATTTTTTTTTTATTTTATTTACTTTAAATTACTAGATTTTATCAATTAATAATACATTTAAGCACATTCCTCACATTCTTTCAACCGAAATTCAAAATAATTATTTAATACATTCATAAACCAGCTCAAATTAGCAAAAATCTCATAATCTGGGTCAATATGGGTCAATTTGGGTGTATCTGACGACCTCTACTGTATAACATGATATTTCATGACTCTATCCACTAGATGATCTGCATTATATGGAGCAAATGAGCTGTTTTGCTGTTTTTAAGCTGTCCTAAAGTCAGTTCTTGAGTTTATCTCTTCAGTATGCATTCAGAAACACATGTAGACATTATAAAATCATTTTTGGTAAGGTCTTTGCATTTGTAGGTTTAGTTTTGAGCATTTTTTTTATTTTTATGTTTTTCTATGTATGAAGCATTCTTTGCATCCCATTTATTCCTAAGGGGGTTGAATTGACCCATGAGGGAAGGATTTGTTACTTTTTTAATTACAACAACATAAACTCATAATCCGAATCCAGACAATTTTTGGTCAAGTGTTGGAAAAATCTCAACCACGATTTTTCGGGTCATAATGACACAAGGGAAGGATTAAAACATTTAAAGCATTAAGTGGGTCCCTATGACTGGAGATTTTTTTTTTTTTTTTTTTAAACCCTGCTTTAAAAAACACATGATTTTCACATGATCTCAAATGATCTGGAAATGATCTCAGTATGTATACTTTCAATTCTTTCATTCTCATTTTAAAATAGCTCTGCATTCTCAAATGACTTATGTTTTCTGCTTTGTTGTTTTGTGTCCCAGGTGATTCCTCTCATTGGAGAATATTTGGTTTTCACTATGATCTTCGTGACCCTTTCCATTGTCATCACCGTCTTTGCCATTAACATCCATCATCGCTCCTCGTCTACTCATCACACCATGGCGCCCTGGGTCCGCCGTATCTTTCTGCTCCACCTGCCTAAACTGCTGTGCATGCGCAGCCATGTGGACCGCTACGCCACCACCGCAGGGAGGCAGAGAGCAGACAGGACTGGAAGAGGAGGGCTGGTGTATGAAAAGAGTTCAGGCCAGGATCCCACTCTGCTCAGTGCAGAACACCGTCTGCGGGCAGCCTTAGAATCTATACACTACATCTCGCTTCATGTGGTGAAGGAGAATGAGGTCAGAGAGGTAAGAGTCTCACTTTAGACTCCCAGGCATGATGTGATTTTTGTGAGTTTTGAGCTCTAATGAATTCTAATGTAATGCCTCTTTTTAGGTTGTTCAGGACTGGAAGTTTGTGGCCCGGGTCCTGGACCGTGTTTTCCTATGGGCATTTCTCTTAGTATCACTACTTGGCTCTGCTCTCCTTTTTATCCCTGTCATCTATAAATGGGCCAATATCATTGTTCCCAGCTATGTTGGAAGTACCAGCTAAAACACATGAATGTATACATTTACAAAAGCTTTTGCTTGGATAAAGTTTTAGCATTATTGTTACATCTATTATTGTAGTCTTCAAAACATCTATGCAACTTTGAGCGCTGTCATTATATGCTGATTTCATTACAATAAAATTTACTATAAAAACATAGTTATTGTGCATTGTGACAATTTATAATTTTTCCCATATGAGAAAATGAACAAAAATATAGATTACTCATCTTGAACTCAAGGGTGTGTACAGTTGTTTTGTCCAATTAAATGCTCCCTGGTATGAGAATGCCCCTCCCCCTAATATCATCCGCTACATGGTAATTTTAACACAGCTAAGTGTGTTTTTTTTCTGGGATGTGATGTTAGGTAAAAGCTTGTGCAAATCTAACGCTTGTTAAATAACCGAACCCTTACCCAAGGGATAGTTCACTTTGAAATTAATTTTTGATATGTTTTAGCTCATACCTCAAGGGCATCCAAGATGTAGTTGTCTTTGTTTCCACAGTATTTTCAATTTTGACGTTTTTCGGTCAAACCGTTGTTGTCTGCCAGTCATATAATGCAGGTATGGGGGTCCACATCACAGAGCATGCACAGAAAAGTCCAAATTAAACATGATTTAATGACTTGGAAATGTAAGTACACAGCACATGCGCCGGAAGTGATCGCTTGCGTGTGTACGTCACTCATTGTTTACATAGAGATTTCGGAAGTGTTGCCTTTCACTAAACATATTTAGATGTTTCGAAATCGTCTTCCATTGCGATTTCCTATATAAATATGTTTAGATCTTCACAGTGAAAGACTTAAAACTAAAACTTCCGAAATCTCTGTGTAAACAATGAGTGACGTAGACGCGCAAGCGATCACTTCCGGCAGAACGTTGGACATGATTTAGTTGGACATTGGACAACTGATTCAGATCACAGGATGTAAAAACGATATAAATACTGTTCGTTTTCTCACACAATCCGCTCGTTTCGTGTCTTAGGCCATCAATGTGTACTTACATTTATGAGTCATTAATTCATGTTTAATTTTGACTTCTCTGTGCATGCTCTTTTACGTGGACCCCCATACCTGCATTATATGACTGGCAGACAACAACGGTTTGACTGAAAAATGTCAAAATTGAAAATACTGTGGAAACAAAGACACTTACATCTTGGATGCCTTTGATGTAAGCTTAAACATATCAAAAATTATTTCAAAGTGAACTATTCCTTTAAAGGAGATATTTTTCATATTTTTTTCAATGTTTAGTTTTGTTTTTCAATGTCCCTATTGAAACCCATTAAAACTAATAGTTTAATCCCACAGCCATTTAATTATAAAATGATGCTGACTTTGTATATAGGTTTTTATTCAGTTGGCAAAGCTTATTATTATTATTTTATTTTATTTTTTACATGATGGCACCGTTTTCTCTGGTTTAGCATATACAGTAAAGCAAATACTCGCTTTTTTCCTGTTTTCTGCATCTTTGAATTATAGAGCTAATTGGATAAATTATGCAGCTATAATTGTGTGGGTGTGTTTGTATATGGATGTCAGAGTGTGGTTTGTACTAAAAAATTGTGTGTGTGTGTGTGTGTGCGAAATATATATGAGAGAGAGAGAATTTATTCTGCAAATCATAAAACCAACCACTGCATCAGTGAAGCTTTGCTGGGATCAGATGGAAAAAGTTTGGTACTGTGTCCAAACCAAATATTATGTAAGCTCATTTTTTTTTTTTAGATATCAAGCTTAAATTTGGAACACAACTTATTTAGATTAATGGCTTTAAATTTTGTTACGTTTTTTTGCAGAGATAAAGAGAGGTGAGAATCCAGTTGCATACTGGTTCCACTTCCAATGCAACAAAATATAGACATATTTCGATTAATTCTGCCTTTAATAATTAATTTTGAAGCAAGGTTAGTGATTCAGGGAAGGAGGCGGGAACCAGCGAATGCTCAACATACATTAATTTCAAAATAATCTAACACAAAACGAAGGTAAAACGGCAGCCCTTCACAGACAACTGCCGTACAAACATAAATAAAACACAATGTAAATAATCCAAACCTGGTCCAAAGCCACTAGAAGACAAGCCTGCATCCTTTAGTCAAAAAAGCTAACGGCTAATGCTAACGCTGGAACTGTGTAGGTACGCAGGAGAACAGAGGCCATTTTTTAAATGAATCTCAATGGAGGAAGATGCTTCACCACACTAAATAAACTGCTTTTGTAAGGAAATAGCTTGTCATTTAATGAATCGGCTTCCTGTCCAATAATCTTCAACATGTTTTACACTAAACAATCCTTTTGTTATGAACGATATGTAGATTTTACTATGATAAAAAAGTTGTTTTATAAGAGAAGGCAGAGAAGGGAATGTCGGTACAAGTAGGACTAATTTACAGCATTACCATAGCATTTAATAGCAATATTGAGTGATATTCTATATTATCTAAAAGAAAGTTAAAAATATAGATGTTTCCTTTCTTTTGCTTTCAGGTTTTTACCAATTAAGACTTGAATTGTAATGACTTATATCTGCATGTATGCATATGATGCTGATATTTTGCATTTGAATAAATAAAGAGAAAATGAATAATTGAATTATAGTGTATAATTTACAGTATTTATTATAGATAAGTGTAAAGTGTTCTTTCTATCACTGCCAGGTTAATCTTGTACTGTAATGATATATGACTACTGTGTGCCTTATGATGATGTAATGCTTATAATGAATGATGGTAAAAAGGTTGCAGTGAATAGTCCTTACAGCAGAGATATTCACGCTCTTTTTTTCCCACAGTTTTTTTCAAGTACATTCCACAAATATTGCAGTCCTGCTGTACCTTTACTAGCGATATAACACCAAATATAGAACATTTATTCATAAGACCAACGCGCTAATCCACAAGAAACTGATTAACGTAAACCTGTAACTGACTGGCATGAAATTTTGAACTCCGGACACTGAGGCCACTGCCATTACACGATAGGAGGAGGTGCCTCACGTGATCCAAGTTAGCATTACGCTTTCTCCAATGGTTAGATATACAGACCCTCTCATCTCCCTATAATAAGCCTCTTGGACCCACCCACACATTTATTTAAACCTCTGACTAGACTGTGAGACATTCACTCACTGACTTCATCTAAGGGTAAGATTATTAAAATAATAAGAATTTAGACAGATCTTTTATTGTTTGTTCATGTTTCTGTTGATGTTATACCACTCTTCTTAGGCTTTTTTTTTTTCAGTAACACTTTACAATAAGGTTTCATTTGTTAACACAAGTAAGTTATATTACAAACAAGACCTTTTTTTTCTTACTGTTTTATCTCATTGTATCTTCTTTTTGTAGCTTCCATGCTCCCACATCTTCTTAAATCGTTCTATTTTTCACAACATTCTTTTTCACTTCCTTTTTTTTTTGTTGCATTTTATGTTGTATTTAAGTAACTCATTCACAAATGGGAACATATTTAATTTTAGTGAATACAGAATGTAGGAAATGTTGTTGTTTAGGTACAAAAGATAATATAGTCATAAAAATGTTATCCAGGTATATTTATAAACATATTCTATTTTTTTCCCAGTAAAAATATTGAAACATACTTAAAACAAGATTACCAGCAAATTGTTGAAATAATAAAACTAAAAAAAAAAAAAAAAAAAGATTTATATTTGTTTTCTGCTGTGTGCCCTAAAACATTAAAATTCAAGTCCCTACATTTTTCTTAAACTGTGTAATACTGCAGAATGGGCGAATTCTATTAAAGCAGAGCAACTAGCTTCACCAAAAAGAGCAACCAGCTTCACCAAACAGAGCTGGAATAAGCTCATTTGACATGACAAACACCTCGCCTTGAATCTAAATGAGAATAAACAGAGAACAGGGGCCTGAGAATGAACCAAGTTCTATCAAGAGCTCAGAATTTTCACTTTTCTCAGGGGACAAGCAATATATGTCAGCAAAAAGCAAATTATTATTAAAATGTCCTTTTTTAACTTTGTTACAAGTGGGTGCATTTGAAATGTATTAGAGTTAATATTTATCAGAACAACATTAGATGCGAACAAAACATCTCAGTTTACCAAGTTAGATCCCGAGATCAATTGGGTTTTCTTTAAAGGGATATTTCACCTTTGGAAAAATGTATGTTTATTTAAAATGGGTCATTTATGTAGAAAAAATGTGAAATTATTTTTAAATTTGGAGCTTTCTAGACTGAGAAAAGACAGAAAATGTATTTTTTGGTTTATGTGGATGAAAGACAACAACTCCCAGAATGCACTTGCTTCGCTGCCCTAGGAGGCCACGCGTACCGGTAAAAGAGCACAGTAGTTAAACAACAAGTCTAGGCTACTAGTGATTCTCCGTGATGAGTTCCAAAAATGTCCAGGAATTGGCTTTTGCGTTCTACAGTCGCCATTCATTATGTTTACTGTGGCGAGCAGGATGAGAATGAGGGCCGCGGGAGAACAGTGTGATTAATGTTACCGATGAGCGACACCTGTGAGACACACCAGTGTCGTATCTCTCAAGGAGGAGAGGGAATTTTCTTAGCAATGTTAAAACACACATCAACAAATCACTTGTTTAGCGTTCATGTAAACACTACATTCAGATTCACCAATCGGAATGAATTCAGTTAGACTGATACAAACGGTGTGCATTTAAACAATGAATGGCGACTGCATAAAGCAAGAGATGAAGATGATGGTAACTCCTACTTCTCAGCTTTCTCAACAGAACAAGAGCTTGCTAGCTTAGCTTCCAAAAAAGATGTCCTACACTATGCGCGTTTCAATTACAGATTTGCGCAAAACTTTTGCGATATTTTCTAAATGTCGATAAAAAACTATTGCGAAATGACAGCATTTCCATTAACCGATGTTATGTGACTAAAACGTCTTGTTTTCCTCTCGCGATAAGTCATTCCAAAAATCATGGCAACGGACGTTGGTAGGTTTATATCACAGCCACCGCACTAGACGTTATTATTATTAATGGAAGGAGACGTTCCTGGATGTTTCTCCCTGATAATTTCTCCTCCGAGGTCTTGATTGTGGCATTTCTTTGAGGTTTATACTCCAGTAGGCTATTCCTGTAATTATTGTTTCTTTAATGAATTTTCTTGTTTATGACTTTTTGCCCCTTTATTAAACATTTAAAATATTCACAAATTGATATGAAAAAACAAAAAAAAAAAAAAAAACTATTGTTTTCCTAAATCAGTGTCGGCTAAAAACATATCTCCAGATGCACCTTTAGAGAGAAATGCACATTTCATACTGACTACATAATCAGAAGGTATTAGCAAAATTTGTTTGTTTTAAAGTACATTTCCAGCTTTAACCTACATAGGCTATATTTGGTTTCAGTTCTCGCACTTCAGTTCACGGAGATCATAAAAGTGCACCTGATTGTTTTATTTTATTTTACAAAAGCACAACGTTTTCTTGTAAGATTACCCAAGTAAAAGTAGTTGTGAAATAAAAGTATTATTATTTTCTGTATGACCATTAAGTATTTTAATTTGTTTCCACTGTTGATAGAAAAATGCAAGTCATATAACTGACGTTTTTGGGACGTCTTTTGACCATACGTCAATATTAAACGTCGGTAGATGAGGTTATGGGATCCTAACTCTACCCCAGACCTAAACCTAACCCTAAACCTAACCCGTCACCTAACTGACATTAAAGGTAAAGCGTCAGTTGTATGACGGCCCGGGATTACCATCTACCGACGTTTAAGGGGGCCCTAAATAGGCGGATATTGACGTATGGTCAAAATACGTCCCAAGACGTCAGTTATATGATTTTTTGGGATGTGAATGTGTTGGCTCACGCCCACGCCTCCTTGCCGTCCAGTGCACGCTCCACACCCCACACACACACCTGGATGCATCAAAATCTTGTGTTTATTTGTGATAATCTTAGCCCTAGCATTATTATTGTCCAAACTGTATTATGAATGAAATGTGACGAATTGCTTTGTTCATTTTATGGATAAAAGCGTCTTATAAGCTAGCCTAAAAAATTTTATAATAATGATGATAATAATTATTATTATTTGCGGACATGGACCCACAACACACCGCGTCTTCTAAGTCAGGTGACTGTAAATGCACAAATCCTGTTTCCATTGCAGCTTTGCGAAATATTCTTTTTTGGAATTGGCTGAAAAACCTCCTCATGCGAGCGTAAAAATCGATGTGTTTCAATTGAGCGTATTTTCTTTTCGCAATTTAAATTTGTGCAATTTGAAGGGTAATGGAAACGCGGCTACTAAGTGTACATTTTGTGAGTGTGAACCCACCCTCTATGGTCGGGTTGAGAACATGCGGGACAGCCTCTATTACTTACTGTAGTCTTTAGCCTCTGGCTAAAAAAATCCTCAGATGATGCAAAATGTTGAAAATACTACAGGTTTTCTACTAATACAAAACTTAATGCTAAATCCTGAAATGTCCCTTTAAACTAGAACATATTTTTGAAAAATGATGGCGATTTTCAAATGGTTTACCTGATTTTCTTTAACTCACTGGAGACTATGTTTATAGGTGGTCCAGTAAGTCATCATGAGTACATTTTGCCGGCTGTTTTATGAGTACTGTTAAATTCTGACATAACACTATTTTCACATAATGTTTTTGACCTATATATAGTAGGGAAGTATGCGATTTTGGATGCAGTCTTTTGTGCAAAACCTGCTCATCTCGACCCTAACACTCCCCCATCTGCAATTGTTTGGACAATCTGATAGGCCTGCCCCAAGCTCACCCCATTTTTGCTGTGTTGGATTATTTGGGATGACCAAATAAACAGAGCAATATTTTGATAGCACCAGATATAGTATTTATACTTTTCAGGCAAATTAACCTACAAATGGTGTAGGCCTACTTGATAGTATTTAATAAGATGAGGGAAAACATATTTCAACTTTAAAACTGTTTTTGCATTGTTTCTTAAGGGATTCTAATGGATCTGAGAGGGTACCTCAACAGGATCGGGTTTACTGGCCAATATGACAAACCCGACCTGGACACTTTACGCACCATCCACAAGCTGCATGTTATGAAAATTCCATTTGAGAACCTCAGCATCCACTGCGGAGAGAAGAACACGACAGACCTGCACATCATCTATGATAAATTAGTCAAGAGCAATCGGGGAGGCTGGTGTTGTGAAAACAACCTCTTGTTCTCATGGGTCCTACAGGAGATGGGTTACAAATACACCACACTAGGCTCCAAGGTGTTCAACAAGTTCCAAAATGATTTCCACCCCGTGGACTCTCATCTCATCAATCTGGTGGAGATTGATGGGAAGCCTTATATTACTGATGTGAGCTATGGAGTGTCATGCCAACTGTGGTATCCCTTAGAGATGGTCTCGGGTAAGGATCAGCCACAACCTCCCGGTGTGTTCCGCCTCCTAAACGATGGGATGACGTGGGTTCTTGAGAAGACATCAAGAAAGCCAGTAGTCAAAGATAAGGCCTATGCTAATTCCAGCCTCCTCGACCATCGCCTGACTAAAAAAATGTATTGCTTCCCATTAACACCCCGTAATAAAGAACATTTCGTGGAGACGCTGGATTGCCTGCAGACAAGTCCAGATTCTCGGTTTGTGCTGAAGTCCATTTGCTCCCTTCAGACGCCCACAGGTTTCAGAGCTCTGATTGGCTGGACTTACAGTGAGATCACCTACAACCCGGAGGAGGACTCTGACTTTGTGGACATGAAGGAAATTCCTGACTGTGAAATAGAGGCTGTGTTGAGGGAAAAGTTTAATGTGGTGTTAGTTAATAAGTTCACTCCTAAAAATAACAAAGCTCATTATTGCATGTAATGCTCAGGAGCGTTAGATAGAAATAGGAAGAAGAAAGCAGCAGTCAATAGCAGTATCATTAGGGCAGCAAAGACCAAGGCTCAAACAGATTATACAAAAGAAACCAAAGCAGTGAAGAGGAGTTTCAAGAAGGATAAGAAAGACTATTTGAGTAGACTGGCAGCTGAAGCAGAGCAGGCAGCATACGCCAATATGAAAGAAATGTATGACATCTATAATATAATGGGTAGCCTTATTTTACAGTCCTGTTCCCCATATACATATGTACTTATTTTAGTAATTAACAACTGGGTAATAACTAACCCAGAACCTACCCCTAAACCTAACGTCTGTGATGTCTTGATGTTTCTTAATCGTTTAATTAATTGTTTTAATTAATAATTAATTAATTTTTTTAATTAATCGTTTCGCTTAATTGTTTTTTTTATTTTTTATTTTATTTTACATACATGGAATCAATGTACTAAAGATTCAATATTATTGACTTGTGTTTGTCTCAGTGACTGACAGCTGTGTGTCGACAACAATTGATTTTTTATTACTGTCTGTCGAAAGAATCAATAGATTTAGATTTAGAAACAATAATAAATTAATTGTAAGTTTGATTTTTGTTGTTTTTATTTATACTTCAAGAGGCAATTTTGGTCATCACTTGATTAATGCACAATTCATATCCAGTTGAGAATTATTCTTTAAACCTCATCAATTGCTAACAAATTGTGTAAATAATTGTCCAGAACCCTGCTGAAATAGCACACAGAACAGCATTTTTAATTAAAATCAGTTACTAAACTACTGGTCAGGTTGAGATTTTAAAAATAAACATGTTTAAGTTTCGCATAGGTACATAGTTTACAAACAATATGGCCATTTTCCCTAATATCGTCATTTTAGATTAAAATGTGCTAATTACAGTACAATAATAGATTATACTTACTAATTATAAAAGAAATAAACTTCATGTATAATAATTATACACATGTTGAATAAACTGGGTTTATTCACTGCACAATATATTTAAAATATATTTTCCCTAACCCTGTAACATTCAAAATGTTTCAAGTTGAATTGTATATGGCAGCAGTCAGAGTAATGGCATTAATTAGGAAATATCACTGCCCCATACCACTTTTCCCCCCCTTTTTACAGTAAAGTAAATGTTATCTGATATTGAGAAATATATTCCTCTAAAAAAATATTATTCTGTACAACCATCGAAATGAAAAGTGAGTCATACAAATTATCATCTAAGATTCAGATGAAAAACTTTTAAAAAATGTTTTTTTAAATTTTGCATTAGTGTTACCAGACCTGCTTACTAGAGACTTTTGGCTTGACTTATGAAATATCCAGATGGTTTTTTTTTTTTTTTTTTTTTTTTCCGGCCAGACATAATGCAATCATTAATTGCTGTAGTTTGTTTCTATTTTTCTTTAAAGTCATGTGTGCAGTTCAATAAGTAATAATCAAATTCATGGGACAGACAAATAAGAATAATCTGTCTATACTAAATTTGCAAATGTGTCACTCAGTTTTCCTTTTTCTGCTGCAGCACTTGACACACAGATATCGAACTGTTAAAAATATAGATAGAGTGAATATCAGAACAACTGCAAACAATGTAACGGCAACATCTACTGAGTAATATGAGTACCAAGGCAGTTTGTAGGACTCTGTTCGGAGGTGAGCAGCACCTTTGTGTCTCATTACAAACTCAATCCAGAAGAGGGCGCTGTCCAAAGGTTTAACTGGCTTGTCTCTGTGCAGATGAGAGAGTCTCTGCATACTCAGTCTGTAAGATGGTCTATTGATTACTTCCTGTATGGCTGCATACAGTGTCTTTTTATCTAACGTTGCAATGGAAACAATCTTGGCTCCTCCCCTTTCTTGCAACCGAAGGAGATTGTCGTACTGGTCAAAAAAGAATGGAATTCCAATCACTGGAATACCATGGTACAAAGCTTCTTGAACCCCATTGGTTCCGCCATGTGCAATAAAAAGTTTAGTCTTTGGATGCCCTAGAAGATCGTTCTGTGGCATCCAGTCAACCAGTAATGTGTTGTTCCCCAAAGTAGATGGTCTCTTTCCAGTGTATCTCCAAATGACCTTTTGCGGGAGCCGAGCAAAAGCCGTAGCTATTTCTGCTGTTAAATCATCTGGTAGGGCACTGATAAACGACCCTAAAGACATGATGATGACTCCGTGCTCTCCAGAACTTTGCATGAAGTCTTCCAGATCATGTGGAAGGGCCTTCGCTGGTTTGCATTGGAAGCCTCCAATATATATGATATTTGGCATTGTTGGACGTGGAAATTCAAAAACAAAATCAACCCTCATGAGCCATATATCAGCCCCTTGGAGAAGTTCATAAAAATTTACGGGAGGACGGAAATATTTGTCACAAAGTGCTTGGTACTGTGGCAAATTAAAATAGCTGTACTGAAAGGCCATTAGGAAATAGTGGAAAACATTTTTTACTCTTTGGAAGAAGTTCATCTTGTCAGTGTTTCCAGATCCTGTAATAGGGATGTAAGACATTGGAGAGGGAGCGACGTCAAAGTGTCCCTCACCAGTAGTGGTCCATCTTACATTATATACCATGGGTAACTTGAGTTCATGAGCCAGGAGAATGCCTGCACCCCATACTGGATCTGTAAGCATCAGATCATACTGTTTTTCTTGCAGCGCCTTCATAATCTCCTCACTTTCAAATATGTTTGTTATAAGCTGACATATCATTTTATGTATTTCATACATGTTACTAACCACATCCCAAAACAGCTGTACAGTGCTGAGCCAGTGGCTCTTCCCTCTTTCAGAGTCAATTAGTTTGGAAATCATGTCTTCTACAAATTCTTCATCCATTCCTTTGGTGTTTGGTATGGTTATAGAGTTGTAATAAGTTGAATTCTCCTTTACGAACCAGCTATTATAGGTGCGTATTACATCAATGCTGTGCCCTTGACCATGTAAAGCCTTGATGAGGATGTCCATGTTCACCCAGTGACTTCCCTCCAAAGGCACCACCAAGATTTTGCCCCCATCACAGAGACAACCAGAAAGGATTACAACTGTTATCCAGAGAGAGACAGAAACCATGTTCTTAGACAATGGTGTCATCTTACCTGTAAATGATAAAATAATTGGATCACATAATTTGGGATAATATTATTTTTGTAGTTACTTCTGTTAATAATAATGTTGCTGATACTGTGCCGTACTGACATAACAAAATAAAGAAATGTAATAAATTTAGAGTAGTAGCCAGGTTTATTTGTGTTACCTCGTTATCTAAATGCCTTGTCAGGCAAACCAGGCGAAATAATGCAGATGGTTACTCTTAAACCCATGAGCTTGTGTTACACAAAAATCTAAGGATAGCTGGCTCTTGGTGAGTCAATTTAAAACTCACAATTAAATAAATATATAAAGCCAAACTTATTTTTTAACCTCATCAATGGATAATTAACATGTTCTCTCTTACAACGTGCTGTCATCTCCACCAAACCACTAATTTTCATAAATTCTAAGCATTTCACTTTCTGAATACCTTCTAAAAATTTCTAAAATTCTCCAAAAAAATCCATAAAGGTATAGTTCACCCAAAAATGAAAATTATGTCATTATTCACTCACCCTCATGTCATTCCAAACACATAAGACTTTTCTTCTTCTTCGGAACACAAATGAAGATCTTTTTCATTTATCACAACGATGTGTGAATTGATGAATGTTTATATGTGAATAAAAGCCTAATCTGTTCATCATATGAAGCGATTTGAGTCTCTTCAGAAAATTTTGGACTAAGCTGCTCAATTTATATGAATTAGTTTTACGATCACTTTCTGAACTTTTTGAAGCATCAAAGTGTCCAGTTGCATAGCTGTCTATGGAGGTATAGAAAGCCCTCAGCTCTTTTCTTAAAAAAATATATCTTAATTTGTATTCCGAAGATAAGTGACAGTCTTTGGAACAACAAGAGGGTGAGTAATTAATGAAACATTTTTTGGGGAAACTAACCCTTTAACATCTCAAATACATCCATGTATCCATTCAAACCCTTATACATGAGCAAACACATTTCTTATTTTTAAGAATCTGCTGCAGCTTAACTGGTTTGATGAAGACTCTTTAGAAGAACTGCCACCATCTCCTGTACTGGACAACAAACTGCATTTCTCACATGGGTGATGTTAAAGCCACCATGAAATCAAAATGAACGTTTCTTATTTTTATGGGATATCGCAGTAGACTATTTAATATAAATGATTTATCGGATTAATCATTATAGTTTAAAATTCATGTGCCCTCCCAATCTTTTATCAAAATCAATTTCCCTAACTCTTCCAGTGACACCTCTTCTCTTTTTGGTGTGAGGGTGAGACAACCTCACTCCCATAAGATTACAATAATAGCAAATGATGACGATCCAACAATCAAATCAATTCCAAATGGACAAAATAATGTCCCACTCTCAGGGCTTGACATTAGCTATGTTCGACCAATCAGTGTATAACATCAAATAACCGTGAGAGCGATTATTGTGCAAATGGCTCCGTATGTTTTCAAATCGCTCTTACATGGCACTGTGATGGGGTATAGAGTTAATTCTTTGCCATACTGTAATTAAACAAACAAATCTAGCGTTTAGCAAACAAACTCCATCTGCTTTGCAAAGGAAAACTCGACTCGCAAACAAGCAGAAGGCAATGTGCAAGTACAAAGGTCAATTAGAGCGAAAATGCAGTGTAGTAACAAACATGTATTGTGTTTTACAAATATAAGTAAATGAGCCTAGAAAATATTTCACAAATAAATACAAACCATTCAACAAAAATTGCATGTAACCTTTGAACAAATACCTAATCTAGTGCAAGCAAATATGTCTGTTATGACTGTGAGACACTTGGCTTTTTATGAGATCTCTCGGCTCGATTTTCTCACAAATGTGTTCAGGCAGATTTTCACACAAATGCAGTTGAGCAACTTCTAAAGCTAAAGCTCTAGCAACTTCCTCTTCTAAAGCGCTAAAGTGCTAGTCTCCCGGGAGAAACACTGATTTGAAATGCGTGCTTGACTTTGCCTACAGCTGAGGAAAATGAGCAGTGATGAGGTGAGTTTCTGTCTTACTTGATCTATAATTAACCATTTTGAGGTTTTCTTTTGCAAAATGTTTATTACATATCTAGACAGAAATCAACATTAGCACTTAGTAGCAC